TTGAAAATATTTATTTTCTTCTATTAGAGCTCCAAACAGATTAGTTCAGGTCAGATCAATCAAGTTACCTGAATTGAGAGAATCAGGTCAGGTCAAACAAAAATCTGACCTGATTTAAATTTTCATTTGACCTGATTTGACCTAATCTAATTGAATTATAAAACATTATTTTTGAACAATAAAACTATTGTTCTCGAATGATAAAACTATCATTCTAAAACAATAAAACATTATTCTTGAACAATAATGAATCATTCTAATTAAACAATAAATCATCATTCAAAAATAATAATGAATCATTCTAATTGAACGATAACACATCATTCAAGAATGATAAAAATATCGTTCTTAAATGATAAATCATCATTCTAATTGAACGATAAAACATCATTCTTGAATGATAAAACTATTATTCTCAAATGATAAATCATCATTTTTGAATGATAAATCTATCATTCTCAAATAATAACGAATCGTTTTAATTGAATGATAAAATATCTTTCAAGAACGATAATGAATCATTCTAATTGAATGATAAAACATTGTTCACAAATGATAAAACTATCATTCTTGAATGATAAAATCATCATTTTCAAACGATAAAACTATTGTTCTTGAATGATAAATCATTGTTCTTGAATGATAATAAATCATTCTAATTGAACGAGATAAAACATCATTTAAGAACGATAATGAATCATTCTAATTGAATGATAAAATATTGTTCTTGAATGATAATGAATCATTTTAATTGAACGATAAACATCATTCTCAAATGATAATGAATCGTTTTAATTGAATGATAAAACATCATTCAAGAACGATAAAAATATCATTTTTAAATAATAAAACTATCGTTCAAGAATGATAAAATCATCATTCTCGAACGATAACGAATCGTTCTAATTGAATAATAAAATATTGTTTAAGAATGATAAAACTATTGTTCTTAAACAATAATGAATCATTCTAATTGAACAATAAAACATCATTCAAGAATGATAATTGGTTGACCTGAATTTTGTCAAGTTGAATCAGGTCGATTCGACCTGTTAACCTGACCTGATTCAGAGCTCTACCCTCTATTAATTCTATTATATCAAAAACTGAGAAAAAATGTTTATAATTAAAAAACTAAAAAAAAAACTGATATATATTTTGAAAATGTTGAAAATTTTGGTAAAAATAAGTTAGTAATATATAAATTTACGTAATATTAAATAAAATACTAATTATATTAAAAATAAATATAGCTTACATTATTTGAATTAATTTTTCGATTTCATTATTGTATTTAATTATATATAAAAATGTCTATTTCCTTCTGATAATTCTATCATTGTCAAAAATTGAGAAAAAAATATCTATAGTTAAAAAATCTAACAAAAAGAAAACTGATATACATTTTAAAAATATTGAAGAAGATTTTGGTAAAACTAAGTTAGTAGTACATAAACTTGTGTAATATTAAATAAAATACTAATTGCATTTAAATAAATATGATTTACATTATGATTAATCTTCAATTTTATCATTATATTTATTACATTATGAAAAAATTCATTTTCCTTTGTTAGTTCTATTATAATCAAAAAAAATTTATTTCCCTTCCCAAAAAGAAAAAAAAAGAAAACTGATATACATTTTGAAAATGTTAAAGAAAAATTTTAATAAAAATAAATTAGTAATATATAAACTTATGTAACATTAAATAAAATACTAATTATATTAATATAAATATAGCTTATATTACATTATGAAAAAGTTTATTTCCCTCTGTTAATTCTATTATAGTCAAAAAAAAGTCCATTTTCCTTTCAATAAACTGAAAAAAAGAAAACTAATATACATTTTGAAAATGTTGAAGAAAGATTTTAGTAAAAATAAGTCAATAATACATAACTTATGTAACATTAAATAAAATACTAATTATTATTGAATTAATTCTTCATTATCATTTTTGTCATTATATTCATTATCATTTTTATCAAATTTATTATTATCAAGTTCATAAATATTATTTTTGTCAATGATATGGTCAGAGATGTTGAAGATATTTGAAGTAGTAGTTGAGATGATTGAGATATCGCTCTAAGTATCATTATCATCATCAAGTTTTGTCTAAACAAAAAAAATTATAATTAAAATATTTAGTCTATTTGCAAGTTCTAAAATCTTTTAATTAAATTATTTAGCATATTTGCAAGTTTAGAAAACTTACCAAAATTTTATTTATATGCAATTTAACAATATTTTCAGAAATCTGTATATTTTCTATTTTAGGATTTAGAAGAATTTTATATATGACAGTGATATAGGCTTTTTGAAGTGATATTCACTTCTTAGATCTTTAAACTTTATCTAAATATGAGTTATGTGGATAGTTTATTCACCCTCCTTTATTAGAGTAAATAATTTAACCCAATATTCCTTTAATTTTTTGAATTTTTTTCAACTTTGAATCTTTGTCAGATTTGCATTAGTATTTATTTATGATAACTGAGCTTCACTAAATACCATAAATATTGTATTCTTAATTCATAATATTAAGGTATTACAAAGACTTTAATGTTATTTTAATAGCTGTTAATAAGTATTAAAAATATTAAAATTATATATAAATATTATCATATTTATATTTAAGTAAGCAAATTTACAGTATGATAAATATTTTTTTCATAAAAAGATATCTAATATTTTTAAGTAAATTTACCAAAAAATTCAGAGTGATTTACTGATATATATTCTTCTGTAATTTCTTATAATTCTTCTTGTGTTAGGTATATTAATTTAGTTAACGTTTCTTTTATTATATTTTTAATCAGATTCTATAATAAAATAATTTAAAATAAAATATAATTTATATTTAATATATAATATATATTAATACTTTTACATAAAAAAATATAAACTAGAATAATATAAAATAATTCTTACTTTTTCAAAAGTTTTATCAATACCTATATGTTTTGTACAATCATTTTTCAACTTTTGATTCTTTTTCTGATTTTTTTTGACCTGATATTAATATATCAAGTTTATCATTGAGTTTCACATTTTAATTTAATATTTTTTAAACTTTATTATCAAAACTGTGTATAAATAAAAATAAAATTTTTCAATTTGCCGAGAATCTGAGAAACTATAAATTTGACCAGAGTTAGAAAATATTTTTGCAATCATAAAAATATTAATTCTGCTGGCAAAAATTTTACCAGGTGTCCAGAACACAAATTTTTTATCAGAGGATTCTTTAAAATTCTGGATTTTTCCAGAATTTACAGTACTATTTAAGCCCTACTTTTAACATTCTTTTACTTGAGTTTTACTTTACTCTTTCCAAAACAAATGTTTTTAGTTCTAGAGATCAACTCATATTTTGATAATACATCCGTTTTGGAGTGGTTATATCATGGTTTTTTAAATGCTTTAAAACCTTATTTCATATCTGATCAAAATTCAATTGAGAACCTAAATTCAATAGTGAAAAAGCGATATTTAACTTGTTTAAAGAACTTTCTGGATGTAAAAGAGAAATAAGGTTTGCAAATCAAACATTATAATGTATATTATGATTTTGTAACTCTTCTTTTACGGTAGGTTTGTCAACTTCTATAGTTTTCTGAACTGTCAAAGGCAACATTTCGCAACTAATAGCAGGTATTATAAGGATTCTATTCTTCTTTGATTCCTTCTCGTGATGGATACCATTTCTTATATTTCGTTCGTCTGTTGCTAGAATGCACGTGGGATGCATATCAGGTGCAAGTCAGATGCTGTTTCTTGCGCGTTCTTTGTACGTTTTTACATATTCCTTACGTATTCCTTGCGCATTCTTCTGTGACAATAGTTCAAATCTCGTCATATTAAAAATTACTAACCTCTTAGCTGTTTTAGAAGGAACCTGAAACACAAAAATTTTGGAAAATTGTCGAACTAGAGAGAAATTTAGAAAATAAGTTCAAAAACAAAAGGTGAATATCATATATTTTGAATAGGATTGTTAATGGTGTCAAATACATATTCACGCTTATTTGTTATCTCTCAAAATTATTGTCAAGCGTAAATTACAAATAGACAGGTATTTTATGACTACAAATTAGGATATTCTTGATTAGCTACTTAAAGAAAAACAGCGAGCTAAATCGACATTATAAATAAAGCATATTTATTAAAGTTAATTTGCATTTCCGTATTATTTTATTAACTAACAATTGTTTCTATTTTTTATTATAGTGAACTGATCTGTTCAAACATAATCAATACAATAAACAAATATTCAATGGATAGATTGGAAATCAAACGTGATTATACTTGGGTTTCTGTTATTAACGAGACCACAAAATATATTGATGAATTAATCGATAATGTATATTTTAAGGATTTATCACTAGTAAACTCCTTTTTATAATCAAATACTTATTTCGTACAATTTTTCTTATCTTTGACTTCAGTTTGATACACGCGATAAATTCTGTAGCAAACTCCAACTTCAGTTTGTTTTATAGATGAAATTTATTCATTTAATAAACATTATGAGATGAACTGGATCTACAGTTTTACCAATAAATTGTGGGTTTAATTGCTCATCTTCTATAAATGTCATTTTGCAGTGTTTAGGTTAAAGACTTACTTCACAATAAATCACTTTATCTGTTATCATATAGGTTATCTTTTTTTGAGGCCCCATGAAATCCACTCCTAGATAAACATTCTGAAGGTTAGCTGAATTGCCATATCTTAATTTTGTTAATTGATGACTACTTTTTAACATGTGAAGAAATTCAAATTCATCGATTAGTATGAAGTTAGTTTTCTAGTAAGATTTAATATAATAGTTGATTCAATATTTTACTCTAATTAGGGGTGAAATGTTATTGGCATCTATTGAGCATAAAAACTTATCAAGAGAAGAATCAGAAAAAACACAATCTGGGCACAAAATTGATATTCTCTTTCATATCAATGACATAGAATATTTTGGTTTAGAAATATACGTTGATGAAGATTCACAAAACTCCAAACTGATTTTCTACAAGCAAAAACTTTTCCGCAAAATGAAGGATTAACTAAATCGTCTCTTAAAGAAATTAAAATTTATAAGGAAAACAATTAAGGAGATAAAGAATATTGCTATACATGAAATAAATCAAGGAAGTAGTTATGAAAAGCAATGTAAAAATTCTTATATCGATTATTTTTCTGAAACCATTCTTATTCAATAAAAGTCTTAATGAAAAGATCTATACAATGTATTATGATGCTGATCTTCAACATTATTTCATTTTTAAGACATGTTAGTATCAAATTGGTTTTATGTGAAAAATATTCCAGAAAGCCTTGTGTCTTTAAAAGATATTCTATGTTTAAAGGTATGTCTTTTATTGTCAATTTGCTGACGAATTTTTTTCTTACAAATTTCATTTTCTGATTATTACAGAGTGATATACTCAATGTTCTTAATGCTGTTAATAAAATAAAAAGAATCACCTTACGCACAAGTTCAGAGAATTTGTTTACAATTAATAATCTTCCAAAGACAACACCATTCCCGACTGACTGGATCATCAGCTAAGTTGTCAACTTAATCAGCTAAGCCATTTAGGAATTAATACAGAAGTATCTAATATGCAATATAGTATAATAAAAAATAAATTAATATCATTCAATTTTTTTTTAAACTTCAAATAAAAATAATTAATAACATTCTTTTAAACTTTAATAAACTTTAATTATTTAATGAATTTATTTATAAATAATATCAATATAATTAAAATTTTATTTTAAATAAAGTGTAACCAAATGATTATTTTCTTTTAAAATTTCATGAACATCAGTGATAATGTTATCTGCATCAAAAAAAAAGCCTTTTAGATATAACAGATGTGATAGATATGAATAAAAATTTATAAACTTGTTTGGATAAATAAGAAAAGGTATTTTTTCTTTATATTACTATTGTAGGAGATCATGAAAGTGATATTGAGGATAGTTTAAAGATAAAACAGATAGTATAGGAAGTTGTAAATATAAGAGATTTCTGTATTAACTGAAAATGTAAGAGATTGGAAAGATATAATGTGATTAAAAAAATCTAAAAATATGAAAGTATAATTTAAAGAAATGGGTATTTCAGATGATTAAAATACTGGAGTTTCTAATACTTTAATGTCTTTTTAAATTTTGTTTAGTAGTTTCTATTTGATCTGTAGACAAAAAATTTAAATATTTGAATTAAGAATCTAAAAAACTAGCAATATAATCTAATTTATCAGAAATTTCCTAATACTTATCTAAAGAGACCAAATTTTATTACATATTATTTTGATTTGTAAACTTATAATTTTATGAATCATATTTTTAAAAAAATTTCTTAACAGTATAAGGTTAAATACTATAGTGAAAGTGTTAAATATATTCTACTTGATATAAGATTAGTTGCATTAACAAATGGTCAAACAATAAATTAATTCTTTTAAAGCTGTTTAATTTTCTAAATTAAGTAATAATTTTTTTAAATTATTATCATCAATATAAGTAGATCTATTAGAACTTAAAACAAGCATATTAGCTAATATAGCTAGTATATTATAAAAATAAATAAGCTGCTCTAATAAAAAAATGTACTATTTTAACTTTTATCTGTATCAGATGAAATAAAATCTAGAATTCTAATTTCATAAATACTTTTTAATATTAAAAAAATTAAAATAATTATTACTAATATAATAAATTAAACAAATAATTAATAAAATAAATTTCATAAAATATTACTTTTAAAGTTGTAATATTTATCATGATTTTATATGAAACAATTTAGTTTTTTCGCTATATC